CGACTGCAGTTTTTGGTATTTCTGGAGAGGCAGTGCTAATACAGCCCAAGTGGATGGAGCTAGTTTTCCTGCAACATGCAGTACTAGAGACCAGCCAGCTCATGTCTGCTCTAGTTCAAGGTTCCTTATACCCAGACACACATAAAAGCTGTGAAACCTTCCCACTGAATTTTATTTTTCAGTGGCTTCTGAAGATGAAAAAATATTTCTTTTAGAATCAGAGTAGTCAGTCTGACAGACTGTAACAGAACAGAGCCCATCACAGTACAACAAATAGGAAGAACAGGATAAAATACCTTGGAGGGGGAGTATATCAGATAATAAATTGATCCTCCCTTTCAGCCTGTTTTTCTTTAAATGATATAATTTCAATCATCCATGTTTTGCATGAACCTTATGTTTTTCCTGCAGAGTAATTGTCATGACTCTCTCTGATAGCAACGAAGTTTTGATAGCAGTCACTGTAGCAAGTCATTACTAAGCTCTCATTTCTATCATCAAATATGCTACACCACAATTATTAGTAATTAAAATCAAATTAGGTACCTCAATTTAATTCATCATCCATGCTCTTGTCAGTGCCTGTTTGCTCGCTCACTCAAAAATGTAGTAATTTTTAAATTGTGTCTCATTAATTAGTGTGAATTTAGCAGCTTTCTTCTGTCCTGTGTTTTGAGCTAGAATTCTGCACTGACATGTATAGCAGCCCATCTGGTCCCATCCTTCCTTTGTGCCTGCAAATCATAGCATGGTGATTCTTTATTTTCAGTGCTGTAGAAGACTGTCTGTGTAGCAGCATGTTCACTAAGAAATTGAGCACCTTCCTTGGTATTTTTTTTTTTTGTTAAAGAAATAAGGAAAATAAATAGTACACAGCTGATAAACAGTATGTGTATATGTACTATTGTGAGTAATTACACAACACTGTCATAGAAATGTTTGAAATTAGTTAGTAAGGTTCGACATAAACTGAAAACTTTTCTGCAAAACCAGGCCCATTGTAAAACCAAGTTGCATGATTAGAAATTCGGGCATTCGTTTAGCTACTGAATGCCAGGCTGTGCAACTAGATGCTCTGATCCATGGACTGACTCATATTTAGCTGTGGCAGTTCAAGGGATTTGGGAACAGGAGCTGTCTGTACTACTCAGGAGCTGATGACAATGTTTTAACCAAATTTGAAATCAGTCTGAGTTCAAATATTCTCCTGTTAACTGTGGTAGCTGAGGAGCATGTGCCAGACTCTGCTAAGTAGCAGGGTATGACTGTTTCTACGTGTTTGCAGAATGGATAACTGTGCACTTAGGAAGACTGATACTATTTCAATTAAAGCTGTTATTTTATTTTTCTCTCTTTTTGTTTTCTTTTTTTTTTCTCCATAACTGCTTCCTCTCTGCTTTTTCTTTCCTGATCCCTTTCCTTTTCCTGTCTCACACTCTACGTTAGCAGCAACTTTGAGTTATTTACTGTAGTATCTAGCAATATATTTCTCCTCATGTTCTCCTCAGAACATGCTTGCTGTGATATGAGCTGAGGTACTTATTTCTATACCATATTTTGAAACAGATAAAGCGTGTGCTACCTGCCAAATGTGCTTTTTAATAAAGTCATCAGCGTATTTGGCAGACACTGATTCTATAAGACATCCAAGGAGTTTTTCCAATGCTTTCTCATGTTTTGAAAGACTTTTGAGTGCTCTTTTGCAATAATTAACTAACTTTGCCTTATGAATTACTTTGCTTTCTCAAAAATACTCTGTGCTGAAGTTTTAAATCTTCATATTTCTCCCTCTTGAGGTTATGCAACTTACCTATATTTCACTTTTTTATGTCCTTCATAGAAAGGAATTGTATTGTGTCCTCTTTCCTTATTTGCAAATGTCACAAAATAAGCCTTTTCAGATCCTGGTCTCTGTGAAAGAGCTGCAGTTGCTTGGTATCATTGCAGAGACTTTAAACCAAGTTCTCATATATGTTTTTTCAGGAATCCTCACATTGTGTTGAATATTGATCTCGCACCTACAATTCTAGATATTGCTGGGTTGGATATTCCATCTGATATGGATGGTAAATCCATTCTAAAGCTTATGGATTCTGAGAGACCAGTGAATAGGTAAGAAATGGAAAAGTGCATAGAAACTTGCATGTGTTTGTACAAGAGGCTGAGCAAGTATTCAGCAACATGCAGCAAATTTAAAGGAAAATAAAATTACCATGTAGGTGAGTACATCATTCACTGGACAATCTAAAGACCCATTTGGCAATATGTAACTGACTGCAGTTCTTTATTTTCGTTTTGTCAGGTTCATATACTAGCTATATAGCATACATGGCATCTGGATATACTAAATGTAATCTGTCTAGCAGTGAGAGGGTACACATGAAGGTCTTTAGCTATATGAGTTACAGATTTTAAATGTCTCTGTGGCATCATTTGTAGCAAAGCATTTCATATTGAATAAATTGTAGAATAATTGAGTTGAAAGTGTTGGTTGTGTATCAGACTATAATAAAGACAGGCTAGCATTCAGAATTGCACAGCTATTATTTGAGACCTTCCATCAATAATTCCATTGGAAAAAGACTGAGGAAGAGAATTAGACTGCATACTTGTTAGAGAAAATCAGCAGAAAAAGGGAAGGAGAAGATTTGCTTTACAAGCAGTTGGGTGGAGGGAGAGGGGAAAAGGAGCAGCTGCTTTAGAATTGAATACTTTAAGGGTACTGTGCAGGTTAAGAACCCAAATTGGAGTCAGGAAATCCCAATTTAATTTGCGATCCTTTGTGATCAAGGACAATTCAGTTAATCCCCTGTGCCTTAAACATGCTTATGTTGAAATACTTGTACAGTGTGAATCTGTTGTGGATTTTGTCCCTGTGAGAACAAATCTGTCCTATGTTTGTTCATGATTTGCACTGGCGAGGCATATGTGCCTGCTCTATAAAGCTGAATATCCCCTTGTGCAGTTATGTGTAATGTTTCTCATCTGAATTGGGGGTGGGAGAGAAAACTGGGGCATGACTTGATTACTGGTTTTGTGGGAATTGCTTCTTCCTCTCCTCATTTCTTCCTAGGTTCCATTTAAAGAAAAAGATGAAGGTGTGGAGAGACTCGTTCCTCGTGGAAAGAGGGTAAGGAAAGTGTTAATCACAAAGCCCAGTCTTTTTAAATAGTAGGGTACTGAATAGCTGAAGCCAAAGCAGCACTCTACCACAGACCTAAAGCCATTTAGCTGTGCCAGCAGGGACACGGCTGCAGTATGCCTAATGGCAGTGATTGTGTGATAGGAGGAAATGTATGGCCTTTGCCTACAGCCTGCATAAGTGTGCTGTTGGGGTGGGGGAAGGGGACTTTCACTTGGATTGAGAGCTGGGAAGGCATCCCATTTTTCTTTCAGCTGCTGCCCCCCGACCCTCCTTCATGTATCATGGGAGTATGAGCAACCTTTCCTCTCTGCGTGTTCATCTGCTGGCCATTCCCTCTATGCCTCTGCCTTAAATCGTAACACAGGGCGTGGGGGGGTTGCAAAGTGCAGCCCTGTAGAGTGAGGAGGATATGGTCTCTTTATAGACTGTTGTTACTGTCTGCCAATCAGACATGAAACACACTGTCTTGGTTTCGTGTGTTTTTGTACTCTCCCCAAGAGAATGATATGAGTAACTCGTGTTAGTGGAGATGATGGTAAGTACTGGTTTCTACTGGATGGAGTTTGGGCCACCAGTGATGCTGTGGACTTGCCAGATAATGTTCTACTCTGAGCCTTTTCAGCAAAATGTATGTGTATCTTGGAATTGATGTTAAGGCAAATTATTTTTTTTTTTTGTCTTTTTCAGTAAACTGCTGCATAAGAGGGAGAATGAAAAGGTAGATGCCCAAGAAGAAAACTTTCTACCCAAGTACCAGCGTGTGAAAGACCTCTGTCAGCGAGCTGAGTATCAAACAGCTTGTGAACAGCTTGGCCAGGTAGGGCATTGTACCCCTGACTGAAAGTAAGCAGTTGTAGTTGGGCCAAGCTTAACACCTTAACTGTGACAATGTCCTTCACCTTGTTGACAATGCCAGCTTATAAATCAAATGGCACATTCTGTGGCCTTTGCTCAAAACTGTATTACAGCATTTATGAGATTGACTGTCAGTCAGGAAGTTGCTGATTCAAGTGCCTCTGTATTGATTCCTGGCTACTGTTAAAAGAACTGCCTAGGCTGTTCTAACATTTTATTCCCCAAATAGAATGTGGTTTGGGATTCATTAGTGATGAGAAGCTACAGTGAACCTAATGGATTGGCCTCCTTCAAATACATATAGCTTGCTTTGCTTTGAATTCTTAATTTAACTCATTTTGCTGTTATTATTTGGAATTGCATACAATAATGGGAAACTAACGTTCTGGAACTCAATGTATCCCTCCTTTTAACAAAAATATACTGTGAAAACACACGTGCAGTTATGACTGCAGGCAGTCTGTGTGTATTTGGGCACAAAGCTCATTGATTGTGTGTCATTTCTCTTGTTACGTAACTGTTCCGGGCAGATATGAAAATTTGTTCATTTTAGATCCAAGTTATGTAGAAGAAATTCAGGAAAAAAAATTTAGAGTAGTATCAGTACATGGTCTTGGTGCAGGAGAAGGTTTTGCAAATTTACCAAAGCAGTGCAAGGGTATATAGCAAAGTTGTGTCTGGTAGCCCCACCCTTGGGGGAATTCTCATCCTCTGGAAATGTGGCAAAATTGCCTCTGCCGTTGCTTTCTTATCCAAGTACTGGTCAGAGTACCCACTTCCAACAGCTGTAACTTGTTCCGCCCATGGGTGTGTGGACAAAGGGGTGAAGGTAGATGGGTCCACATGCTAATGTGTCTGTTATTAGACTGGCATGACCTCATGCCCTGGCAGCTCAGAGGGCTGTCAGAGTAATTCAGTCCTGGAATATAACTCTTCTTGCAGACACGATCTGAATGGCTTACCAAGGCTGTAGTCAGTAATGGGCTACTTAGGCTACAGTGGTTCATTTTTTACTGTCAAAGGGCAGACTCCCTGTTTCTGGCAGTGTACCTGTGAAATGAGTCCGTTGTTCCTTAGGTGTTTGGATCCAATTCACATGTATAAGCGTTTTCCAGATGCTCATTTACTCCTCTGGCTTCTTTGTCAGATACAGTATACAGAGAGATTATAATGTCCTGTTCTTCCTAAAAATACTGAATTTAAAGAAGTTTTCTGTGCAGTAGTTTATTGTCGTCAGATGTCTTGAGCTGGAATTTGAGATGGGTGGGAGCAAGCCATTGTTCTTTGAATTTGCAATGTTCTTTTGAGAAACTGGGGGAAAAGTCATTGTTTCTGCTACAACATCAGCCAGTAAGTAGTTTGGGGAAATAGAGCTGCTTTTTTTTTCCATCGGTATTTTCCCTTTGAGAGATTTTTCAACTTCTTCCTTTTGTCTTCATCTTCCCAATTATTTTGAATGTTATTGTAAGAACATAGGGGAAGAGAGACTTTCCAAGTCCATGTTGTCACTGAAGCTGTCTCTTTGCATAAGGTAACTTAGCTACATTCAGGCTCTCTTACTCTAATTACCACATGTCTCACTTGTGGAAGAAAGGGGGAAGGCCCTGTATTGTCTACACACATTCACAGGCTTATGTTTTCTTCCATGGATGATAAAGTATCTCTGACATCTGTAAGAAGTGGGCATAAAATGTCAACTCCGTACTCAGAATTGCCAATAAATTCTGAAGTGAAGGTGTGCTAATAGGAGATGCATGTGCTGCATCCTCATTGTCAGGAGACAGAGAGGAGAAGAATTGTTTTGAACAGTTCAGTCAGACGTAATTGGAAGTGATAGGATGAAATTGAGCAAAAAAGAAATTTAAGTTGGACATCAGGAAAAATTGCCTAACAATCAAGTCAATTAGAGTCTGGGAAGGGCTCTCAAGGGAATCTCAATCCATCTAACCCCCGCTCTAGAGAATATGTCCTAGTAGTCTGTCTAGACGGCAGGAATAGTGGGAGATGAATGTGCTTATGTGAGGATAAATTGTGTCTAAATATGGGTGCACCCAAAAGTCTTTTCAGAGTGAAGCAAGCTTAACTTCTCAAATGACAAATGGGTGTTGTTTGTTTGCTGGTGCTGTTCACAGCTCTGCATAGTGAGTAGAATGAGCCCTAATGAATAACGTGCCGCTGCCTTGGGGGAGTTTATGGTATACAGATACAGTGGTTATTTAGCAGGTGGCTCCTGATACTGCAGGACACTTCATTATCCTGCATTTAACAGTATCTGGAGTGTTCAGTGCAAAAGGTGAATTTTCACATCCTAATGTAAAGATAAAGAGAAGTCTGGGTCAGAATTAGGTGAAAGCTTGCTAAAGTCTTTGGGACTCTTTCTTTTGACTTAAGTTTTGGGGACCTGCTAGTCCATGCACAGAGAAGTGGCAGGGAATCTGAAGTGTGAGCAGGAGACAAGAAGCACAAATGGAGGACAAAGACTCTGAAGGGGAGTGAAAGAGGAGAGACAAGGACAGAGCTTAAAGTAAAGGAGAGAGGTAAAGAAAGCTTTGAATGTGAGATGGAGAATTTGAAATTCTGCTTTGTGAGCATGCAGGTTTCTGAATACGGTTCTATCACCACAAAATGCTCTTCCTTTGCAAATCTCTGTCACCCTCCTTGACCTATAATCGTTTTGATAAGAGAGCACCAGGATCATGGAGATGAGGCTATTCATGCTGTTTAAAACCTTGTTTCAGAGTCCATTATGTGGGATTTTTTGGCAACACTAATATATGTAAATTCTTCTGAGTGCAATGGGAATCTGTGTGTTGCCATGTTTTCTTTTTCAGTTGGTAGGGTTTGGTCTGTGTTAGTTATTTGCATCCAACAAAGGGTGACTGTAGGCTCAGATGAAAGAGCAGCTCAGCATTTATATTCAAGGATTTAAAAGAGATGAGCTCTTTCTTTCCACATGAAATAAAAAACATTTATCCTGGTACCTAATGGCTTCCACACAAATTTTTTCTCTTCAGTGTAGTTCAGCCTTTCATTCTAAACTGGCTGGTAAGTGGAAGCTGACCCACTTTTATCTGGCGGCCTGCATTAATGTGCTTTTGTGGAAGCCAATTATGATATCAGCATTGCTCTGTAGAGTATTCCCAGCAACTCCACAGTATCATAACAACAGCTGCACAAAATCTCCCTCTAAGTCATTTGCCAACTTTGTGCACATTTGTTACCCATGCAATACCTGCAGCACTACTGTACGTGTAAAAAAAAAAAAAAAAAAAAAAAAGGTATTTAAAAATATTAAGTTTGTCTTTAGCAGGACCTGGCATAGTATGATGATATTGCTAACTCATGAAGAAAAATAGTTGTCTGAATTCACATTATTTGCTTTTCAAATCCTTTTTATTTTCAAAGCTCTGTTTCTGTGCAGATGTGATATAAGCAGAATTTGCCTTTAAACAGCATTAAAAATACCATTTTATATGACTGTTTTCACAGGAAAACATTTAAAATTAAAAAAATTGCACTTTGTTTCCTTCAGATGTTCTGCAAATGAAAGGTTTGATACACAGTTTTCCCTTTGATTACTTTGTGCTGTACCAGGATCACGAAGGGTTATTCTAACTGCCATGAAGGTATCATAAGCAAAAGCATGTCACTTACTCGATCGGTCCCCGCCGTTCTCTGACATAGCATGGCATAGCAGTGATGAAGACTATCCTGAGCAATGTGTGCTTTCCTACCGCAGTTCCTAAAAGTGGTACATCTAGATCATATTCCTGCCACCATAATCATCATTAGCCATGGCTCATTGCCAAGATAGGGGGTGAAGCAGTGGATAGGGTAGAGGAGTGGAAAAAATAACTTATATTTTCTCCTTTTCCTGAGGTTACTGTAGCTTGAACTTAGGTTAGCCATACCTAGGAAACCAAGTCAGGTTTTATAAGGAATTTCTTTGAAAACTGGGATGTAAGTTTTTTCTTCTGGGTATCTTTTGTGGTTGTCCAGTTCTTTCGTACCTAGCAGAGATATCCTGAGGTTACTAAGGAATTTAGTTTCTGTTGATATGTGAAGCGTATCAAGCCAGCTAGAGTCCAGATAATTTCAGTAGCTCTTTAGGTGGATCTTTGGAGTATCTGAATCCCAGTGCAAGTTGCATGTGCTCAGCAACTTTTAGGATCCGGTTCTTAATCTGTGATTGCAGCAAGAAATTACTTGTTGATAACTTCATACATTAAAAATTTTGTCAGCCCTCAAACTGATAAAATTAGGAGGCAACAAACCATGTAAATTAAAATTGTGATGATTTATTAAGGCTGTTATTCAAGGATTGTATTCCTTATCAGGAATTATAATTAACAAAACTGGTTTCCTCCTTTAGCCAGATGAAACCTATAATGATTTCCAGAGGCTCTTTTACTTATGGGCTTTTTTGCTTGTTGTTGCTTCACAAAACCAAGAAATTTGCATCTCTTGTTAACTGCAACTTTTAAACTCCTTGTCATTACAGTAGTGGTTGTTGCAAATAGCTTGCCAAAAATCAATATCAACATTTAATAAAACCCAGAAATTTTTCAGGTATTCTGATGAGTAGCAGTGTAGTTTATCTCAAAAGACAGTGAGCTGGAGATCAGGAGACTGACTTCAGACTTAGAGCTGTTATGGGCTCAACATGGCACCTCAAACAAATCAATTCCTCTTTTGGTGCTGCTGTTTTTTTCTTCCACCACTAATGTAATTTCTGCTTAGGCTGCACTTGCTTCTTAGCTTCTGCAGTACCTAACGCAGCAGCTGGGACTGTTTGATACCTCAATCCAATTATAATATTAATAATAAATGAATTACATAATTGTAATCTTAAATATAGCTGAATACCTGACTTTTTCATTTGCGTGCTAGTTGATTGTCCCACCTGCCTCACTTCAGCTACAGTTTGTGGCATTAAAAAGCCCTCCAAATTTTCTGTCAATT